TTAAGTGAGCCACAGGACCTGCTGTGGGACAAACCGGGGAAATGAGAATAGCGTTCAAACAAGAGCCTGGAGGGGAGGCTCAAGAGGTCTCTTCACAAGTGGCAGAAGCCAGAAACAGCAGTGTCCATCAAAAGGCATGACAGGCTGTGGTCCGTGCTGCACTGGACTGATACTCAGCCATGTAGACAGCTGAACGTCACACTAAGTGCAGAAGTCAGATGACAGCACAGATAGGCACAGTGACAGGCTGTCGATTGGTGTTGCCCAGGAGGAAGGGACAGGGACTCCTTCATGGGCACCGGCTTCCCCTGGACAGTGCTGATGGCCAAGGTGACCTCGAGGAAATGCCCAAGGCCACTGGACTGTACACTTGAGGGTGGCTGGAATGATAAATGTCAGGTTATGCATCTTGCAGAGGGCTGGATATGGCCCTCGTGCTGCCGCCCAGGGCTCTGTGGCCTCCTGCAGCCACAGCGGCTGCCGAGAGGGCTGGGCCGGGGGAGCACTGAGAAGAGGCGTCCCCGGAGCAGAGGCAGGGGAGGCCCTGCTGTTCTAATCTGGACTCAGGCCCTGGACTTAGGCTCTGCTGCCTGCTGAGACCGGAGGCGGGAACACTCCCAACACAGGAGGTGGCCAAACAGCCGTTCAGAGTGACCAGTGGGAGACAGACACCGGCTCTAACCTGCCCGGCCCGTGTGGGAAACGCTGGCACTCTGTGTCCTCCTGAAGGGTCCAGCACAGAGAGTCGGTCCTGCCCTTTGGGGTCCTTTAAGGCCGCCTTTTCCTCCCTGCATACCCTGGCACCCACCGCCCCAGCCATTAGTCAAAAACCACTGCTCGCTCATTTGTCCAAACTAGAGGCTTTGACACTTTGAGCAAGATGACAACGGCTCATTCATCTGACAGATGCTAATTCTTGCCCTTGGCTTTCCAGGATTGATTTCAGAGCTCCGCACAAGGGCCTGGCTGTCACTTCCATGGAAATCAAGTGGCAATGAGAAGTGACCGGGAAGGGTGCCCTGGTCCACTCTCCAGTCCGTGTCCCTAACTTGCCATGCACCCTGACCTTGGGGTGGGGCAGGAAACATGGCATGGCATGGGGGGCCCAGCCTCTGACCTCCAAAGCGGATGCTTCTAAAAGAAAGCATAAGGGAAAAGGACAGATAGGGTCAGAGTTAGGGTTTGTCTTTGTAAGGTTTTACGTTGATGTAATTTTAGACAGTCAGAAATGTTGAAAAACAGCACCCGGATCTCCCCTGCACCTTTACTCAGACCCAGCGGTTGTGTAACATTTTGTCCCCTTTGATCTGCCTTCCCTCCCCTCTCCCTTGCATGTCCTCCCTGTGCCCTTTTACCCCTCAATACTCTCAAGTTCACTTCCTGAAAACAAGAATGATCGTGTAGATAACCTCAGTACATTTATTAAAAGTTAACACTGATAGAGAATTAGCATCTAACATTCGGTCCGTATTTAAACTCATCCCGGGTCCCGGTGACGTCCATGATAGCTGTTCCAAATTCTCGAGGTGTCGGTCTGACATCATAATACCTCTGCGATGTCCCCTTTGGCAAATCACTGCCTCCTGTTCCTGGTCCCTGGCTCCATCCCTTGAGCGCTTCCTCAAAGTGGGTCCCGGAACTTTCCCTGTGCACCCGCAGCTCAGGGGACCCGCAGCGGACTTCACAGAGTCTAGGGCTGCCTTCCTGACTCCCTCAGCCCTGCCACCCTCTGCCTGTCTGCTTGCGGGTCACCTGGGAATCCCACCCCCACGCCCTCCAGGCAGTGCGACTTCTGTCCACCTTTCCACACCGCCACGCTGAAAAACCCACTGCAAACTGAGCTGGTGCTCCACAAGCTCCTGCCTGCTCTTACCCACTTCCGGGACTCTCAAATTGTCCTCTAAAAAATGTTCTGCTTTTTTTATTCTGTTAAACTCAGGTGGGTGGCATTGGCTTGTATTATCTGTATCACTGTACTCGGGAGACCAAGGTCCAGGATTCATAATTTAAGCCCAACCCGGGCAATTTAGATCACATCTCAAAAAAATACATATTTTTTGGTACACACACACACACACACACACACACACACACACACACAACCTTGTTGAGCCTCCATTCCAAATCTGTGCTGTCACTAGCACAAATTTGACCCCGTGGATGACCTTTATTTTCAGTTACATTTCATTCAATTATTTATTTATCTGAGTAATCTTTTCATGCTCCCTTTTTTGAGATCCTTGTGGGACCTTATAGAAATAATAAACAGTTCTTCGAGGTGGAGCTAAACACACAAAATGAGGCAGGTGCCCTGTGCTCCGACCTGTGCGAAGCTCAGCCAGTGACTGGCGAGCGCCCCAATGCACGGTGAGGAGCCCTCGTGGAAGCCCGTGGCTTGGATCTCCCCAGGCAGTGCTCCAGTGTTGGGCGTTGCTGGGCGACCCTGGAAACAGCCTGCCTGCTGGGTCCGGACTCCAGGGAGGCAGCATCACAGCCTGAGCGGCTCCACCAGGTCAGCTCATTTCTTCCCAGCCCAGCCGGGAGACGGAGCCCAGGGCCAAGGTGTGTGCAGGCTGGGTTCTCCTGAGCCTCTCCCCGCGACGGGGGAAGGCCGTCCTCGTCTTGTTTTGCTCCCTCTCTCAGGGGGGCTCCAGGCATCCTGGATTGGGGTCCACCTCCCGTGGCTCCATTCTGCTGTCTTCAAATACGACTCTTTCTAAGGCACTTGGGTCAGGGCTTCCCTACCTGAAATTCAGGGGACCCCATTCAGTCCTCCGCCTCGCCAGCCACCTGATCTTGGGGTGTGTTAGGGTAGAATCTGGGAGCCTCTGGAAGGCTCAGGAGATCTCAGGTGGGACCTTTGAGTCTTCTCTTTTGTTTCGGTTTTCCTTGTTGTTGTTATGAATTTTAGCTTTATTTTTTCCCTCTATTTTTAAATTCACGCATGTTTGCAGCCCACAGTGTTTACATTCCTTGGAGGGAGCTGGCACCCGGACAAACACTTCTCAAGTTCTCCTTTCCCCCCTCTCTTTCTCCTTCCATCTTTTGACCCTCTTCCATTTGAGAAAGAGCTCTCTCCCTCCTTCCTGTCATCCGTCTTATCTGTTGCTCCATATTTATGTTTAGGGTTTCTCACATAATAGAAACTCATGACATTTAAACCCGCGATTTACATTTAACATTTTGGTCTCAAGGTGCACCCAATTCCCCACCGATTACTGAAGTTTATCCTTTTTTAAGGCACAATAGTATCCCATTAGGTGTAAATACCGTATTTTCTTTAGCCATGCATCTGTTGATGTAATCTACAGGCTATTTCCAATATTTAGCCATTATGAATTGTGCTGTTATAAACATGCATATGTATGGATCACTGTAACATGATGTCTTTAACTCCTTTGGAAAGATACATTGATGGGGAATAGTTGGGTTGAGTAGAATTTCCAGTTTCAGTTTCCTGAGGAATCTCTGTACTGATTTCCATAATGGTTCTGCTTTCTCTTATCCACTTCCAGTGCCCAAAAATAGTCCTTAAAATATTTTATTTTATTTTTAGTCAGGCAAATGGCACTCACCTATAATCTGAGCACTTGGGAGAGTGAGGCAGAGCCATAATTTGAGCCCAATCTAGGCAATTTAGCAAGACCTTGTCTCAAAGAAATATACATTTAGTTTGCACTGATTACTGTGGTACCTTTGGGAAGTGATTGGCTTATGGGGCCCCACAGCTCGCTTGGTATTGGAAGGTAGGGTTTAATTGACAGGAAGAGGCGGGTCACTGGGGGCGTGGCCTAGAAGGACTTTCCTCCCGCCCAGCTCCTGCTTCCTGTGCGCCAAGCTGTGAGCAGTTCTTCTGCGAACTCTCTGTGCCGTGCTGCCTTGCAGTAGAGCCAGCTGACTATGGGCAGAAACCCCTACAAACTGAGCTATGGAAAGGGAAAATCAGCCTTTCTTTTTGAGTGGTGGGTATTAGGGATTATGTCTCAGCAGCTAGAAAGTGACGGAGACAATGCAGTCCTGCCAGGTTTGCCTGACAACGGTGGGCTGTCTCCATTTGGGCCATCAACTGCATAGACTCTGACAAGAAGACCTTTTCAGGGTGCTGGAGAGCTGGGGGTGCCCTCATCCGGTGACCTGTGGTGACAGTGCCAGCCAAGGATGAGGACTAGCATCTCTGGGCCTCCCCAGGGACCAGCCCCTTCTTCGTCTGACCAATAACTGCTGTGCTCTGTTTTCTTAAAGTATCGGCAACTGTAGACGCAGGAATCCAATCAAATCGCACAAAATAGCTGAATGATGAAAGACCCCTTATTCCGGCAGTTAAAAAATGAGGTACATTTACTGTAGCGTTGCATTAATTGCCCTACTGGTTTTATTCACATGTAATTGATTCTATATTTATACATTTTATATAAGTGCATCATATTATCTATTGAATATATAATATCATATAAATTTACTGTGGACAATGTGATACTGTAAGGTGTGTACATTTTAAAATGATTTCATTCACATTAATTAGCATATCCTCCCCTTATAGTTATTGTGAGTGCATGTGTGTGTGTGTAGGGTGAACTTTTAAAATCTGTATTTCATTAGCAATTTTCAAGTGTTTGGTATATTAGTAGTAGCCACAGTCCTGTGATGTATAACCCATCTCCTTAACTTACGCCCCCTTGTGACTGGAACTTGGAACCTTTTGGAGATCATCTCCATGTTTCTCCACCTCCTCCCTAGCCTTTGACCACCACCATTCTCTCCTCTGTTTCTATAAATTCAGCTCTTTCAGATTTCACATGCATCTGAGCTCTGTCTTTCAGGGTCTGCCTTATCTCATCTAGCACAGCATCCTCCAACTCCATCCATATTCTCAGCAGTGACAGGACTTCCTGCTCTGGGCTGAGTAGTATCGCATGGTGGCCTGTCTGTGATCTCACACTTGTTTGTCCATTCATCTGTGAATGAGCCCATAGATTGAGTCCCTGTTTCCATAGCTTGGCTACTGGGAGTGATCCTGTAACCAGCAGGAGAGCGCAGACATATTTTCAATGCATCTGTATCCATATCTCCCAAATGGGCTGCTGGATCACACGAAGTCCAATCTTGCTTTTTGATGGGGGCCCCGTTGCTTTCCATACTGGCTGTGCTAATTAATGCACACCCCGTCCCCAGTGTATGAGGGTCCCCTTGCTCCTGCGGCAGAGCTCATTATCACTGTCCGTGTGATGCTGGCCACTCTGGCAGATGTGAAGTGAGGCATCATTTCTGTTTTATTTTGCATTTCCTGATGACTAATGATTCACATACCATTTGTATTTGTTTTTTTTTAGAAATGTCCTTTCAGGTTCCTTGTCTAATTTTAAGCTGTGTTTTTCCATTTTATTGTTTGAATTTAGTCCGTGTTTTGGATATTAATCTTCATTAGGTACATAGTTGCTCAGTAGTTTCTTTTGGCAGCGGGCCTACATCACATGTTCTGGTCAAGAAAGCAATCTCTGTAGTTGATACTGAAAGTGAGGCCCAGGAGAAGGTGGCTGAGGAGTGGAAGACATTGCGTTGACCTCAGGCATCAAGGTGGAGCAGAGGACGGAGGAGGGAGATGGTGGAGCTGAAATGCAGCGTCACCCCTGAAACAGAGGAGCCAGGGAGCGACAACACTGTGAGGCTGGAGGTGAGGGCTGGGGTCTTGTCACCAGGTGCGGGGGCCAGATTTCAGTCTCAGAGAGCTGGGAAGCCACGGTCTGAGATGTTCCCTCCTGCTGCCTGTGCAGAGTGGCGTCCAAGGTGGGGGCAGTGGGGTTGCGGTGGAGGGGGCTTGCAGGTCTGGATGCCAGAGGTCTGGTGACCAGGACCAGGAAAGAGGCAGAGGGAGGGGGAAGTGGAGAGAGCCAAGATGGGTCAGTGGGGTGCAAAGAGCAAAGAAAGGGGTGGCTTCATAGGTGCCACCGGGGCTTCGTGGCTAGAACAGTTGGATGGTGGGGAAGAAACTGGAGGAACACAGCCCTGGAGTGGAGTGCATGGGTGACATCAAGAAATTACTGGACAGAGTTAAACAGGCAAGAGAGACTTCAAAAAGACTATGGTGACGAGGAGAGAGGTCAAACTCAACTCCAAATACAACAGGGGCAGCAGGGGCTTTATGGGCGGGGCAGTGTGGAAAATTACTCAGAGGGGCTTGGCTGGGTGTTGGGCAGGGGCAGCTCTGCTAATGTGGCCTGGCAGGATTCCCAGCAACCTGAGCTCCAGGGGCGGAAGGTGAGAAGTCATCCAGAAGAGGACCCAGAAGGGCGGGACTCAAGTTCCTTCTCGGTTGCCTCTGGAGGATGACGTGGGATCTGCCCTGGCTTTGTGCAGTGTGAGATGTGGGGCGGTGGGGGTTGGGGTGAACTGCAGTGTGTAAATCTGGAGCTCGGAGGAGAGGGTGGGCTGCACAAAAACATGCGGACCTCAGGATAATGATGGCTTTGGGATGCCATGGCTACCGCAGTGCTCTCTGTGACTCTGAGTCAAACAGGCCGCTTCTGAATCCTCCTCAGAGGACTCAAGCACAGTGAGCAGGGCCCCTTCCTTCTCCTCCCTTGGACTTGGGGTCCTTACTACATGGAGATAGACTTAATCAGGACTGGTCTCTTAAAAGGAGAGAAAACTCTCATCTTCCCCTACTGCTGGCTTCTAGTGCAATGCTACTTAATAGGACTTAGTGAGTGTGAGGCCCTGGGTTCAAACACCAGCATCAAAACCAGAAAAAGAGCTACATATAAATGCTGTGTTGGCTCAAGCTGATGGAACACGCAGCTGTGGACCAGGTGGCCCATCAGCAAAACAAACTGATTTCTAATCATTCTGCTGGCTGCAGCCGGGTGATGGCGTGGATGGGTGTGGTCAGGGCCACTTCTGGGTTATAGGTGGCTGCCTTCTCGCTGTGTCCTTGTGTGGTCAAGAGTGATCATCGTTCTCCTGTCCCCTCTTATAAATATACTGCATCCATTTGTGCTACTCTAACAGAATACCTGAGCCCTGGGTAGTTATAAAGAACAGGAAGTTCTGGAGGCTAAGAGGGCTGAAGTCAGAATGCTGGCAGAATCGGTTTCTGCAAAAGTTCTGGTCTCTGCTTCCAAGATGGTACCTTACTGCAGAAGATGGAAAGGCAAAGAGATTGGATTCTCTCCACCAGATCTCTGGAGAAGCACCTGGTCCCATTCGTGACTTATGGCCCAGTCTTCTCTTAGACCATCTGCTCCTGAATATTAGCACAATAGCAGTACCAGAATTTTGGAAGGGACGCATTTAAACCATAACTTTCCTCGATGCGCCTCCCAGGATTCCTATCCTTTTTATATGAAAAATACTATTCACTCCATCCCAAGAGCCCCAGGTGTTTCAATTCAGTTCAGCACTGACTTAAAAGTCTGAAGTCCAGAGTCTCTTGTGAATCAGATACCGGTGAGACCCCGTGCATGATCCATTCTTTCCAGAATAAATTTCCTTCCAGATGTGGGCCTTCAAGGTCAAATAAGTGAGGCCCTAGGTGCCTTCATTCCAAATGGAAAAAGAGGGAAGAAAAAAAGGGCCTCAGGACCCCAGACTAACACCCAACAGGGAGAAGATCACTGAATCAGAAGCCTGCAGAACCCCTTCAGCTCCACAACCAGCTTTCCTGGCTCACTGGGGCTCGGAAGACCCACCTTTGTGGTTTTGCCAGGCTCAGCAACCACACAACAGCTGGCGATGGGGTGCTGAAGGCTCTCCCACGCTGGACTTGCTCGCTTGCATCAGTCCTAGAGTCCAAAGGCTAAGGAACCTGGAGTTCTGCTGCCTGAGGTCAGGACCTGCTGACACCTGAGAAAGGACCCGAGAAAGCAAAGGCTGGGAATCCACCTCTGTGCTCCACTGGGCTCCCCAGCTGACCGACGGTGCCTGTGTCCATGGAGGGTAGCTCTTCCACACCCAGGCCACTGACTCACCTGCCAGTCTCCTGTTGGGATGCCAGGTCATTCTGATCAAAAGCAAAAACCATCAGGGTTTCCTTTTCATCAGCAGAAGGATGGGCTCAGTGCCTACTGGGGCTCTGCCAGCTCCCAGAGAATCCCCTTCACCCAATCAAATGGCTGCCTAAAATCAATGCCCAGAAACCCCTTGTGACCTGAGCACCTCCCAGCTTCTAATGCCTCTGCCCTGTGGGGTAGGTTTCCAACATAATGGATTTTGGAGGATCAGACGCCCTCGGTCCACGTGCTTGCCTGTGCTTACAACTACGTATAAGAATTAATCCAAAGTGACCTGAAGAAGTAACAGCAAAGCCACACCCCGCCCTAGCCCCACCGGCCGATATTTGAACATTGGACCCATGAGCTCTGGCACTGCTCTGGCCCGGACACGCGGTGATTTCCTGAGCCCGCAGTGCAGAGTGAGGAGGGCCTGGTGATCTCGCAAGGATGAGAGGGCGCCTGGGAAACGCTTCCTGGAAGATAAGGAAAAGATCCTTTTTCAGTTTGAAAAACCTCAACTTCTGATCTTTGTTGACTCACTTGATCCTAATCCCACACCTAACAGGTTAAGCACAACAAACAGACAAACACATGAGAAGACCTCTTTTAAGTACAACCCTGCAATACATAATGATATTTTTGGCCAGTGATGGGCCACATGTATGATGACTGTCCCGCAAGGGTACAATGCAGCTGAACTATTTTATCACGTTTACTGCCTCTTTTCTGGGTTCCAAGGTGATTAGATACGTGAATATTTACTGTCACATTCCAGTGTGGAGTGAGTCACCATCGGATCCCAGAGCAGGACCCTGTCCAGTGAGAAAAGAGAGACTCCCCACGTGGGGAGGTGCACAGGAAGCTCGCAGCTGCCCCACGCAGCTCTGCTTGCAGAGAGCTGGTTCTGCAAAAATCCACAAGACATGCACTGTGCCCGTCACCCCTCTGTTCCCACCAGCACCCTGTTTATCAGCTGGCACCAGACCCACCAGCCAGAGACCTGAACTGTTAAAGCTTCCCACTCTTCCCAGCCATGCTCCCCTCCTCTATCTAAACTCCCCTACCAAAACTCCCTGTAGCCTCTTTCTCGGGGCCTGTGTTCTTTTCGCCCTTGCCCTGTCCCCACCTGGATTATAATAAAACCCTCAGTCGTTGCTTAAACCTTACCTGCCTCTATGGATTCATTTGTGCCTCAGTTTACCCTCACAGTCACAAGCTGTACAGGTTGACGACCGCTTAGGAGCTACAGGCTCAAACATGTAACCTGGACATGTGGTAGGCTGTCCCATCCTGGTCTGTGTAAGTGCATTCCACGGTGCTCACACGACACAAAACGGCCTCACAATGCCATTGTCACAAAGTGCCCTGTAGTGATGGGTGACTATTACTGTGATGTGGGTTTAGGTCTGAAGAAGCCCAAGGTGTTAGTCATTTTATTAACTAAAAAGAAAAGTACTGGGCTAGCACCACAGCTACCATCACTCCGTGCATTCCCTTCTAGCTCTTCCAAGTACAGGTATCATTTTTTTTTTTCACTTAGGATATGTATTGGTCAGCTTTCCATTACTGTGACAAATATCTCAGAAAAATCAGTGTAATCATAGAAAACATTTATTTTAGCTCGTGGTTTCAGATGTTTCAATCCCTGATTGGTTGGTCTGTTGTGTTTGGGCTGCTGGTGAGGAGAGCATCGTGGCAGGAGCATGAGGTGCAGGAAACTGCTCATCCCATGGAGGCCAGGAGGCATAGAGAGAGAGGGGGAAAGAATTGGGGCACTAACACTGTACCCTTTCAAAGCCCCAATGACTTCACTTCCCCCCACTAGACCCCACCTCCTAAAGGTTCCCCTATCTCCCAGTGGCATCCCAGGCTGGGCACCAAACCTTTAATGCATGAGTTTTGGGGAACACCCACCTAACCCAGAGCACTGCTTGTATAATTCTCTATTCTTTTAAAACCTAACACTGCAAGATGTGGTCACTTGTTGCTAGTTACAATTGTGGACTGTCTAATACTCTGATGGCTGGACATACCACAGTCTGTGTAACCATCCTCCTATTATTTTATATGCAAGTTGCTATCCGTAGAATAAAAAGCTCTGTGTGAAGTGAACATCGTCATGCATACGGTGTTTCTTACTTGTGGATGAGTTCCTTTGGGCTAGATTCCCAGGTGGAAACTTCAGAGTCAAGTGGTGCTGTTTTGTTTTATTTTTAAAAATGTTTATGATGATCTAAACCGGGACTCGAGGATGAAATAGGAGGAAAAGAGGCAGCTGTGCCACAGACACTAATGAGCTAGTTAAAAACCCCGAGGGAGAAGCAGGGGCTGTGCGCTGCCTTCAGAGCGCAGGGCTCTGGGCGTTCGTCTAGCTGAGCCTTTCTTGATGCCTCCGGGGAAGATACAGAAAACTGAACTGCTTCCGCGTACAGAAGTGCGGGGTTCAGAGCCCCGGGGGGAGGCAGCTGCAGCCCTGACAGACAGTTACCAAGGAGACCTCTGCTGTCTCCCTCAGGTCCAGGTTAACAGTCCTGAAGCTGAGCTGGGTGGCTGGATAGAATTGGCTCAAAAGAAGAAAATGGGGAGAAGAGAGACAATGACTTGGAAAAACAATTTCACTGTGAACCTCAGGAGTTAGCACCAAACGTAACCCAGAGATCATCCTGGTTCTTTCCTTTTCCTG